GATTGTATCGAAAGAGTTGTTTATCTTGCTATTGTTAAGATATGAGTTGTAAGATAATAACACTAATTAAGTTACAATTATTAGGCAATATTAATTTAGATATATTAATCAGTCAACAATAAATGTAGAGGTAATATTCAAACAGCAATAACTATAGGATAATAGTTAGACAATATTAATTTGGATATATTAATGGTGATTGACAATAAAATGTGATCATTGGCATTAAGTTTTCTTCATAAGTTCAAATTTAGCTCTTTGCTAACTCATTCCTCTATCAAATGAAGAATGGGGTTTACTTATAATTTTTAAAATTGATATTTTAATAAATTTAACTAAAATCCCAAAGCAATTCATTGGATTGTTTGTGTTGTTTTTTTTTAAATTAAAATTATTATTTTAGCAATTAAGTGTTTTTAAAACCTCGGAATTAAATAATTTTGAGCTCTTTAGATTCCTCTTGGCGAACCACTCAATTTAACTATAAATATGTCAACTTTATAGATACAAATGTACCTTCCAATTCATGCTTTGAATCGTCCAATTATACTTCAAGTATCTGATTTTGTTACTTTTTTTCTCGGTGATTTATTTTATGGAGATATTTAGTTTGCCTATAATTTGTTGAAATGATAATCTTGAATATGACTCTAAAAAATATCATATTTAAAACACATCAGCATTAATATCTCATCATGCATGTTTTTGAATTTACATAATTTCTTAAATCCTACTTAAAATAAATCCAATTTGCAATTTAAATTAATCTGATGTATTCATATATATTTATTGAGATAATTACATATTGGTCACCCAAAATATTAATATTTTCCAATTAACCGCCCAGGTGATTTTTTGAACTACAAAATCGATGTATTTTCATGCCACGATCAAATTATTGAGAATTGGATAAAAATGAAAAACGTAGGTTGGGGTTTTATCATAAATTTTAATATTTGAGGGAGAATTTAAAAAATGGGTGAAAGATAATGCTTGCTTTTTAAATAGGAAATTTTGTGTGAACTACGTTGAAAACCCTAATTCCCATCAGTTCACCATACCAATGCCTCTGTTTCACTTCAGTAATTGTATCAATTGTATCTCCACAGTTGAAAACCAAAGTAAGGACTAGAAGCAGAAGAATTGGCTCAACCTGCAAGCTTTGAGAAAGAAAGTATATTAGAGAAAATCAATAGATGAGAAAAATGGATTTTTCCTTTCTGTTTTTCCTTACCCTTCTCAATATGAGAATACATATAGATATATACTAACAAGAATAATAACTAACTATCAGAATTTGTTGGCAAAGGGGACAAGTGTAAACCACAGGTTAATATGTCAAGTACCCAAGGAACGAGCTACCTATATACCTGTATAATAGGCACAGAGAATAATATCCAATTAGCTTATTACTGCCCCTCAAATTGAGGATCCTTAGGGATGGTCTATTTGCTTAAAAGAGCATGAAAATTAAGGCATTAGAAGAATTTTAGTAAGAATATCAGCAAGCCGATCCTTTGTAGTAATGTGTTGAACATTAATTTGCTTGGAAGTGATGCAATCACAAATAAAATGAAAGTCAACCTCAACTTGTTTAGTGCGGCTGTGGAATACATGATTATTTGCCAAGAAAATCGAGGAAATTTTATCACAACATAATGTAGTTGGAGTGTTTATAGATATACCAAACTCAACAAGAAGACTTTCAATCCAAATAAGATCGACAACAACAGTTGCAAACGTATGGTACTCCACTTCAGTAGAAGAACGAGCCATTGTAGACTGTTTCTTGACAATCTAGGATATTAGATTTGATCCTAAAAATATACAAGCACTTGTCATAGACTTTCTATCGGATGAGTCCTCAGCTCAATCCGAGTTAGAATATGCTTGAAGATGAAGATTATCTCGATAAAGTGAAAGACCATGGTGAGAGGTTGCATTAATATATCTTAGGACTTGTTTAAATTGTTGTTATGAAGACTTATTGGAACATGCATACCTCGACAGAGATGATTAACAAAAAAAAAAAGTTCGGCCTTGTAATCGCGAGATATTGAAGATTCAACCAAATGTCGATAAAGAGTAGATGAAATGGTTAAAGTAGATGTTGTTGTAGATGAATATTTGGCAGTAGTTGGATTTTGAATAGGCTTTCAACCCTTCATACTAACTCGATTGAGTTTCTCCAAGGCATATTTGTGTTAATTCAAATGTAGTCCATAAATTGTGTTGGTATATTGAATGCCAAGTAAACATAAAAGGTTTCCCAAAGTTCGCATATTGAACCTATGATGAAGATTTAGTATCAATTAAGATATTGTCGAGGTGTTGTTACTGGTGAGTAGAATGTCATCAACATAGATAAGAAAATACATTTGAATTTCATCAAGAATGTATATAAGTAATGACGGATCTACTTAGCTTTGAGACAAACCAAGCAATTTGAGATGTTCAGAAAGAGTAGCAAACAATTGCTTTGATCACTGTTTTAAACCAAAAATAGATTTCTGTAGTAAGAAAACTTATTGCGGGTATAACCTTTTTCTTCTAGAGAGCTGTGAAGAAAAGCATTTGAGACATCCATTTAAGTGATTGACCAATTGTGATGAGTAGCCACCAAAAGAAGAACTCGAACAGTAGGCATTTTTGCCACGAAACTCAAGGTTTCAACAAAATTGATACCATATTCATGATTATTACCTTGGGCCAGAAGGCGAGCTTTATAATGAACAATATGACCATATGAATCATATATAGTGTGATATATCCACTTGCGGCAAAGTACCGTTTGGTTTGTAGGTGGAGGCACTAATAACCAATTGCCTTGTATTTGTAAGGTTTGGAATTCTTGAGACATAGCAAGTCTCCAATTATGATCTGTTACAACACTTGTATAAGGATCTGATTTTATAATAATTTTGTGTTGTATATAAAAAATTTGTTTTGGTTATAGGTTCCCTATTTTGGCATGAGTGACCATGGGATAAGAAGGGGTGGACGAAATTATAGTGTGAGGTGGATTGGCTGTGAGGATATGTGAAACATGCTCATTTGAAGCATACACATTTGGATTTAGCTCATTAGAAGTTGGCAAACTTGAAGCTAGCGGGCTTGGGAGGACATTAGGTGGAGTTGGCACAATTGAAGAAGGTGGAGCTTGTTGATTTTGGGTGATAATTGGCTGTTTTGGAGAGACAATAAGAGCAAATTTTGAATTGATGGATGAGGGAGTAAGGAGAGGTTGAGATGGTGGAGTATGTGTGGCTGGAGATTTGAGAGAGTGAAGGCTAGTTTGAAATGGAAACACATTCTCGTAAAATATAACATGACTAGCTATAGTGATTTTATCAGTGTAAAAATTATAACACTTGTAACCTTTAAAGTTTGGAGAATATCCAAGAAAAAACACATGGAGTGGAACAAGACATAAACTTGTTGGAGGAATGTGGTTGCAACTATAGATAGCACAAAGATCCAAATGTTTTAAGGAACTTGTTGGGTCTTTTCTTATGGAGAAGATAATAGGGAGAGGTATTATTAGTGGCAAGAGATGGGAAGGCAATTAATTAGATAGACAACTGTAAGAAGAGTGTCTACCCAAAGATTTTGAGGTATATTTGTATCATGATTTCTAAAATATGTCAATATTTTTGTTCAACAACACCATTTTGTTTGGGCATATATGGACATGAATATTGATGACTAATACCATATTGAGAGAATATTTTGAAATGTAGCATTACAATATTCACTTCCCCCGTTAAGAGTGTAAAATTTTGATTTGATTGTTGAGTTACTTTTCAACAAGTGTTTTAAACTTAAGAAAAAACTTTGGCTTTAATTTGTTGATCCAAAAGTGTTTCCAAAAACAGCTATGAGATCCAAAAGTGTTTCCAAAAAGCAGCTATGAGATCAGCTGTGAGATCAAATTAAAGCCAACGGAGGACAGACTTGGCATATATGAGATCAAATATTACCTCAATGTCAATAGTGAACGTCGGAGTGTACAGGGTTCCAAAAGCAGCTATGAGATCAACTTTGGCTTTAATTTGAGACAGATATTCTGTCATAGACTGTTTTACCATTGAAATATGGTGAAGCTTGTTCTTAAGCCGACTTAGACGAGCTCTATTTGTGGATTGAAGACATCGTTCGGGTGCACTCCAGATTTCATCACATGAAAGGTTTAAAACATAAGGTAAGATCGGTGGTGAGATAATTGAGTATAGCGCGGATACTAAGTTTTGATCTATAAAAATCCATAGATTGTATTGAGGATTTGAAATGGTAGAGGATTGGTCGGTTGCAATGTGTGAAGAAGCTGCTGCTATGGAGCCATCCAAATAGCCGTGGAACCCATTGGCTCTAAATAGCTTAATGACTTGAGATTTTCATGTGGGAAAATTGTCAGAATTGAGTTGAGTATGGATGACATTCTTAATAGTAGACATTCAGAATTTCAATTGAGATGGAAGCATGATATCAGCAGATTTCATGAGATGATGTGCAGAAAAATTGGATGAAGCTTGCGTGAGTATGATTTACGAATTGAGTGGGAAGAGAAAAGATCTGAGATCCATAGAAAAAAAAAAAAAACAAAACAAACTCTTGCAAGATATGCAGGGATTTATGCCGTCAAGAAACTTGTTATGATACCATGTTGAAAAGCCCAATACGCATCAATTCACTGCACCGATGCCTCTGATTCACTTCAGCAAACCTGTAAGCTTAGAGATAGAAAGAATATTAGAGAAAAATCAATAGATGAGAAATATAAATTTTTTCTTTATGTTTTTCCTTCTCAATATGTTATATATATATATATATATATATAACAAATAAATCAAAATATATATATGTACTAACAGAGAGAATAACTAACCGTCAAAATCTGTTGGCAAATGGGACAGGTGTAAACAGCAGATCAAGTTGTCCGGCACAAGAGAACAGAGAACGTGGATTTATCTCATTCGCAGAACGCATCTAGTCACCGTTTTGGGTTGCCGCGTTCTGTGTGCGCTCGCCACATCGCATTGTTGTCGGTGAAAAACCTCCCCTTTCCCTTTCCCTTTCCCTTCTTTACAGCGTAATTTTATCTTCATTTTTGTGATACATATGAATGCGTCCCCTCTTCGCGATTCTTCAGCTAGAACGCAAAGGTGAGCACTATGGTATTGACGACGACTTCAGCTGATGGCGAGTCCCTGCACTCCACTTTTGCTTCCAGATACGTTCGGACTTCTCTGCCGAGGTATAGGGGGATGGATTTGGTGTTCCGTTCGTGTGTATTTCTGTGTTGCAAACTTTGAGCCAATTGTTTTCTCCGAGACTGCTTGATATGGAATTTGATCTATTATTTGATTGTTTTCTTAATTTGTGGGATCAGTAAACTTGCTTAATGGTTGATTTGTGAGATGGATTTATTAAATCTATTGATATTGGCTTCTTCATGAACATTTCTTCCCTGAAGAAAGATGATTTGGCCGATTATTATTATTTTTTTTTTTGGTACTGCTTCCTTCCGCAGTTAGTAATATTGTTGTGTTAGAGCATTTACAATGATGAAGAATTCATCCCACGCACACGCATGAGCAACTCGTGCACACACAGATAAGATATGCGGGCAACTCATGTCAATTAAGGGACTTTTTATGTAGAAAATTTTGGAAGAGGAAAAACACAGATTTACACTAATATATGTAACTTGTTTATTATAAAGGATGCACTTTCCAATGGCTTGAAGAACACATTAATATAATATAACAAATATAAATTATGAAAGATGAGTTTTATGATGGATGGAGAGCATTGAGGCGTTATAATTGTCATCAAGAAAGAATTAATGATGTGCTCCATGTTTATTATGAGAATGGAGTTTAGCGCAAGGAGGGTATTGATATCAATCTTAGTAGCAATAATGAGCATCAGTTTTGTTAGCGATGGTAAACATCAGCTTTAGTCGCAACTGTGGGCATTAACTTTGGTGTTAATGGTAGGAGTCAACATTAGTGGCGACTATGAATGTCAGCATTTGTGTTGATAGCAGACGCAGACCTTTTTGGCCACAATAAGCGTTTGGTTTGTTCATGAGTCTTGATGATGAGTTTTGAGATTGTGAAAAATGACCGACGCGGCCTTGGTGGCATCGCAATGTATTGACATCATTTGTGATGGTAGTTGACAATGGTGCTGACGGCTGACGTTAGCATTGGTTAGGATTTTTGAAAATGCTCAAACTTAGTAGTGATCGTGAGTGTTGATTAGCGTTGGGGTTGATACAAATGATGAGCATTGGCTTTGTTGTGGCAACAAGTATCGACCTTATTCTTGATGATAAGCTTGATCATTCATATGCTTTGTTTGCGACAGTTAGGCTTTGATATTATTAGTGACCATGGTGTTTGTATTTGTGCTGTGATAGATGCTAGGCTTTTGGGCGGTGGAAGGCATTGGGGTTTGTGTTAGTACCGGTTATTAGCTTTTTTAGCAACTATGCACATTGGCTTTTGTGTCGATAACCTTGTTGGAAATGATGGGTGTCGGGTGCTAGCAAAGCTCATGGTTTTCTCCTTTGAAAATTTTCTTGTGCCTCCTCTTAACCTTCTTGAATTTATAGAAATAAGATGTATTTATATTTTTTTTTAGGTCTTCTTTTGATAATTTTGATTAGAAAACTAGAACTTTGTGGATTGTGCATGTTGATCTGCTTGATTATACAATAATTTTTTGACATTTTAGCATTGTAATGATTTCATAATGGAGTGATCTTGAGCTCGTTAAATTATTTCTCATCGAGTCACTCTTTTCGACCACAAGCATGTCATATTTGAAGGATGCTTTGTCTCTTCAATGGCCTTTTGTTATGAACCTAGAACTTTGCAAAATGTCTTCCATGTCTATGCCGGATACAGCTTTGACACATTCCAACATGTGTTTAATATTTTCAAATTTAAGTTCGAGTTATTAAAGGCTGAAATTGTGTTATGACATGAACTAGAAATGGGCTGAGCTGGGTTAGACAGATGAGGACACATCATGAAGCATATGGAATGTATAGTTCATGTTACACACACCCCATGAAATAGTTTATCTTACATACACTGCCTATGCTCTCTAGCATGTTTCTGTGCCCTATTTGCCACCCCACTTCGTTTCCATGAGTAAGACAATGCTATAGCATGTTTTCTCTTAGTGTCTTCTTTAATGAGGGAGATAGGACAACTAGAGCATGAACCATTGATGAAAAACCAAAGGTTGAAAGTAAAGCCTTTCTTCTCTTAGCTCCTATTTTTTTGATTGCTACTTTCTTCTATCCCCTTTGGCTAGTCATTAAGAAAAATCAATGATATTAGAGGTTTCATGCAATTCCTATGTCTCTCATGGTTGGTGTCTTCTCATTTGGCGCGATCAATTTCTTTGTTATGTGTGCCCGAGACTTTTCTTTGCTAGTGAGTTGCGGCTATTTTCAATCATCACAATAAAATGGATAAAACTTAAATATTTTTATAAATTAATATTTCTTGGGCATTTGTTTAAAGTTATTTTTTTATTACCAAATAAAATCAAATATCTTTTTTAATTTCTGACCTTGTGAGATTCAAACTACAAGATTAGGGATTTATGTCATTTTCCTATATGATTTAAGATATTTTATATTATTAGTAATTTATATAATAATAATATTGTGATCGTTAATAATATTGTGATTGTAGCATGTTGCATCTTATATTTTACAGTTATCAGTTTTTTCATATTTGTATTATGTCATGTTCGTGTGTGTGCTTCATGGGCTTCATTAAATTTTAATTGTACTTCTGAATGCTTAATTGAAGTCAATTTGGACTTGGATCAGTTTGTTCTTGGTGTTTTGGTTTCTTCACATTAAAATATTTACTTCAATTATAAATTTATTAAAAGCAGAGTTTAAACTAGACTTGATTCCAAAAGTTTTCTTGAAATTTAAAAATTTTATCAATACCCGTTAACGATTAGATGAATTTTTGGCTGACAAGTGTTCTCCAATTTTCATATATTAGTATCATAGTCAATCGTGATATTGATACTAAATGAAATTTGATTTCCTATTGTTTGAAATTAGGTAGTTTCCCTTTTCGTGCTTTTATTTCACTTTCGTTATTTCATCTATTGGAGTTATTCTTTTTGGTAAGAGGTGAAACTTCGTGCCATGTTTTTTCTCTTTGTTTTCTTAGATTGCTTACGATTGTTGTTATCTTGTAGTTCTTTCCCCACTTATTCAGTTCTCTTTTTTTGTGAAAGACGAATTATGTTCAAATTTTAGGAGACTTTATGTTTAAGTAGTTTGTGCCTATACTTGTAAATTTTTCATGTTTAATTGATTTTTTTCTTCATGTTGATGGGAATGGGTTAGGTTCCGGTTGCCAGATTCCTCGACACCGAAGGAGGCTGCGTACCAGATCATAAGCGATGAATTGATGCTGGATGGTAACCCGAGGCTGAATCTTGCCTCCTTTGTGACTACATGGATGGAGCCAGAGTGTGACCGCCTCATATTGTCTGCCATTAACAAGAATTATGTGGACATGGATGAGTATCCTGTTACCACCGAACTGCAGGTGAAATTACCTTTAATAAATCCCTTTATTTTTGGAAATCTTGAAGACTTGGGAACTCTTTGGTTGTTTAGCCTTGAAAAATCAGGACGGCCTGAGATGCTTATTTTATATTTTGAGACAATATTGCAAAAGAAACTGTGGTTATAGATGGAAATACTATAGCTGAATCTTATAAAAAAAATGGAATTAAAAAGAAAAACATTTGTGAAGGGAAGGGAAACAGAAGAAATGTAAAATGGCCCTCATATGGGTCCATGCTAAAAAACTTGATTAATGTTTTGTACTTCCTTTCATTGTTTAAAACTTCAACCTTCAGTTTATATGGAGTAATAGATGCCTTGGTTATTTTATGTATATTTAGTGCTATGATTGCACAAAATCCCACTCAAATGGACCTACAACAGCGGGAATTTAATGAGTTTTTATGACGGACCACTTAAAATGTAGTTTAACAGAAACTATTATCATTTCTTATTTTTTGCTTTTATGTTTTAATTTGTTCTTTTAAATTTTGTGCATTTTTTTTCCCACTTGAAGTTGCTATATTATAACAGCTGAACTCTCATTCATCGAGTTATTGTGTATTTTATCCCAATGGCATCAGAAATTTTGTCCCATTCGTGTAACTTTTGTGGTGAACACCTACCCATGAATGCTCCCGCACCAACACGCTTAAGTTTTGAAATTTCTGATGAAATTTCAACCATTACGCTAATAGTTGTCTTGATGTTTAAGAGTTCAGCTTTATTCTACATAAGAGATTTTATAATCTCTCCAACTTAAGTAATTGACATTCTTGCCATTTTTTTAACATAATCAACTATTAGATAGATGGGATTTTAAAAGTGACACCTATGAATTCAACTGGTGACTACCACAATGAAGCATTTTGTCCTATTTATATAAATATTTTTCTTTTTTTCTATCCTTTTAGTAAAAATGAGATTGAGGATGCTTTAGAGAAAATCAAAGGCGAAAAATCAATAGGACTTGATGTTATCCAAATAGAAGTGTGGAAATATTTATGAGATTTGAGAATTTAGTGGCTTGCTAATTATTTAATATTATTTTAAAAACTAAAAAGATGTTCGATTGGAGGAAGAGTATTTTGGTCCCCATTTTTAAGAATAAATGATATGCACAAGAGTGTGCAAATTATAGAGGAATTAAATTATTGTGTTGTACATTAAAATTATGGGAGAGTGGAATTGATCATAGGTTATATGTCTCATAATCAGTTTGAATTTATGTTGGGAAAGTCTACTATGGAAGCTATACTTATATTGATAGGTTTGATGGAGATGTACAAAGAGAATGAGGAGGATCTTACGATAAGGTTCCAAGGAATTTCTTTGGAGAGTTTTAGAAAAGAAAGATGTTGATATGACTCATATTTAAGACATTAAAGATATGCATACTAGAGCTATTACTTGTGTTCGAATAGGAGGACTTACCAAGTATTTTCCTATTTTAGTTGGATTACATTAGGGATTGCCTTTAAGCCCATATCTTTTTGCTTTAGTTATGGATGCTCTTACTAGACATTCATAGGAGGATGTACCTTGGTGTATATTTTTCGTTGATGATATCCTTCTTGTGGGTAAGACTAGAAAAAGATTAAAAAAAATACTTGAATTATGGAGGTCTACTTTCGAGTTTAAAGGCCTTCATTTCAGTAAATATAAAAACGAATATATGGAATGCAATTTTAGTAAATAGTAGATCTAGTCACAGAGTTATTGTAATGGGTGATAAAATTATTAGAAGGAGTGAAAATTTTAGATATCTCGGGTCAATTGTTCAAAGTGATGGTAATATATATGAAGATGTTATTAGTAGAATTCAAGTTAGATGGTTGAAGTGGAGGAATGCATTGGGCCTATTGTGTGATAGAAAAGTACCCTTAGACATAAAGAAAATTTTATAAGATGTTGGTGAGACCTTGCAATGCTTTATGGCGCATAATGTTGGCCTATAAAAGAGAAGCATAAAACTAAGTATTGCTGAGATGAGAATGCTTAGTTGGATGAGTGACTTTACACTTGGAGACAGAATGCGAAACGAATAAATCAGTGAAAGGGTGTTGGTGTAGTTTCAGTGGCAGACAAGATTAGACAAAGTCGTCTTAGGTAGTTTGATTACATTAAACGTCGGCCATGTGTTGATCTAGTTCGAAGAGTAAATGTTTTAGATTTGACTTATGTTAAGAAATGTAGAGGTAGACCTAAAAAGGCACTGGCATGTTGTATAAAAAATGACCTTAATTTATTAGAATTAAATAAAAATATAACACTCAATAAGGCACAATAGAGGAAATAGAATTCATGTAGCTGACCCTACTTAGTGGGATAAAGGCTTGTTGTTGTTGTATGGTTCGAGAGGTGGCTACCCTGACATAACAATTTGTTTTGTATGACATGTAATTCCTATCTTTAAAATAATGTAATGCTTTGTTAGCATTCTATAATAGCATGAACTCTCACTTATCGAGATATTGTTCACTTTAGCCTAATGGCATCACGATTTTGTCTCATTGGTGTAAATTCTCAAGAGGTCATCCATCCTAGGAGTGCTCTCACAAGGACACACTTAACTTTGAAGTTTCTGATGAGTTACAACCATCATAACAAAAAGAACCTTAATGTATAAGGGTTCAGTTTCATTCTATCGAATTTGAGTAGGAGACATGTAGATAATTCTTTAGGTTTGCTAGTCTTTAAGAAAGGCCAAACAAGTATATATATTTAATTTACTTCTCAAATACGAGTTTTGATAGAATTGGTTGTATTCCCATACTTGATCGAAACCGAATATATTGGTATCAAAATCTTTCCTAGGCAATATTTAAATAAACTATATACACATGATGAGCATTTGACCTCCGAAAGAAGGCGAAACATAAAACTTTGTAGCTGTAATTTTTTTTTAAAAATTTCATTAAAACTGAATCAATAAATATTTTTGTTTGTGAAACCTTCAAATTGTTTCTAGTAGATTAATTCTATATCAAACAAACTATTTTGTCTCTTCATTTAAATTTTTTGCACATCCATAAAAAATATTAAATTTTAGCTAAAAAATATGAATGACATGTATTATCAATTTCTTTAGTCTTTTCTTCTTGACATGAAATCAAACTTAAGTAGTTTGAATATTTAGTTACTACAGAAATATCAGATGATATCAAGGGTTGATTTAATGTAATTTAAATTTTCTTACATTTATTGAGACCTGAGCATTGTCTCCATGAATTTTTAAAGCAATGTTATCCTATTTATTTATTATTTTTTTAATGTCATCGTTATCATCATTATTATCTCAAATGTTCAGTGCATGGTCAAATTAGCCCTATCCCAACTTTGTGCTTTGTTGATTGCTACATAAATTTTAAGTCTAATTTTTGCAAATCTCTTTGCTTTAGATATGTGACCTTTGGTTTGCCAATTTTTTCTCCATCCCTATTTCTTCCACATGATTGAACCATTTTAATGGTGTATCTCCTACCATCTTTGGTACATTCCCAAATGACCTAAGTTTATTTTCATCAATTTCTCTTTAATAATTGCTAATCTTACTATTTCTTTACTATAATTATTTCTCAATTTATCTTATATTAATATTCTTAACTATGCCCCAGCTTGCCATAATATTTATCTCTAACATTCAAATCCATATGATAACTAGTTTAATTCTAGATTCCTAAAGTTTACATAGTCTGCATTCTAGTCTTTTATCATAAAGTTTATAGGCACATCTCTTGTTTGACAACTCATTTATATAATTTAAATGCTCTTGTGTATTCATATTCTTTGTATATAAATATAGTGTGGAATTACGCTCATTATTATTTACTTTAATGTTATTTAGTACTTGCTATATTTTGTGATAGTATAAAAATAGTAATTCTTAATTATAGGTATTTATGTTTATTCTATAATTATAGGAATTACTTAATTGTAGGAAGATTTCTTTCCTTGTTTTATTTCTTGTAAACGCCTATTTATAGGTGAATTATCTATGTATTCATTGAGAAGAAAGTTATTCAAAAATTCACATGGTATCAGAGACATCAAAGAAGAGAAGCCTCTTCCACTAGCTCGATCACGGCCTTTCTCTCCCGCGATCCTCCTTGACCGAGCTGTCACCTCCCAAAAGAGCCCTTATGGGTGGTGGGCAGCCCAGGACTTAAATACTGCTTTTCGGCCCTACACCTAGCTGATGTGGGACTATTTGTCCGTGACATTCTCCTCCACCCAATCACGTGACGCCCTCGTCACGGATCGGCTCCACCGAGGGTCCCACTGGACCATGGAGAGTCCACACACCTGGCAGGCAGTAATCTGCTCTGATACACTTGTCACCTCCCAAAAGAGCCCTTATGGGTGGTGGGCAGCCCAGGACTTAAATACTGCTTTTCGGCCCTACACCTAGCTGATGTGGGACTATTTGTCCGTGACATTCAAGGACTCTTTTGAGAGGTGACAAGTGGTATCAGAGCGCTGCTGTCCGAGCGCTGCTCCTACCGATCG